CAGGAAAATGGGAACCGCGACTCATACATTGGATATCTCATCAGCTTTTAACATGTCTAAAATCCCTTTACTTCCTCTGGCTGTCTCAGTTTACCCAGCAGTACCAGGCTAATAGATATACCTTCTTCATTCTTCTCTTGGAATCTGTTCTACAGATCATCAGCTGACAGATGATAGATTGAGTTTTTACCCTAGAGGTGGCTGCATGCCTGTTACTGAATGTGATACATGCTACATGAGCAACGGGAAAAACCATCACATGAGATGATGAATTACGCAGCACATCCTTATGCAGGTAAAAAATAGATCATAAATCACTCCGAGTAACATTACTACTAAACTTAATAAATTAAATGTAAACTATTCTGTAACCCGTTCAATGACTGAAAAGGCTGCAATCATTTTGAATCATTATGTTTTACCATTAAAGTCTCAGTAGTATTAAATCAGGCTCGAATCTCTGTTTAACCTCCGTATGACCTTGGCAATTTGCTTCTCAAAGTCTTGTTTGGCAAGTGTGAAGGCATATCTATCACCTTTGAGAATTTTTCCCTGCTCTTAGAAAATACATTATGAAATACTAGTTATAAATTAAAATGAATATCTCATCCGTACATTTCCATCTCTTTTATTGGCAGTGTATGTTAAATATCATAAGTTCCACCAGTTCAAATTTGCCGGGATAGTCCTGCAATTTGAGGTACAGTCCAAGAAAAAATACATCCAGGAGACCTGTAGATTTTAAAATACAGGACTGGACTTGGCACTTGGACCATGCAGATGAAGTGCCAGGAGCTGAAGTTCGAAAATGGCGGTGTCCATGTTGACAGCATCAAGTAAGTATACTGCACCTCTGTGCCACCACCCCCAAAAACGTAATGCCACCATTGGTAGTCTTTGCAATATATGTTCTCAGAAGGTGACAGAACCACTTTAAATAGCTGATCTGGAAAGATTCTTCAATTCAGCTACACTGATCAGCCATGACAGTAATCACACCTGGTTAATATTGAGTAATTCCTGCTCGTACTGCCAAAACAGAGGTACATGTCATTCTGCCCAATACTCAAACTGACATTATAAGTCACTTATGATGCCACTGGGTGTAAGAAAAAACTAAGGAGACTAGTCCTGTAGGGTCACAGAACACAGGGTCTGAGACTTAAAAACAAAACAAAGGAATACACAAAACAGATAACAAAGATTAAGCTTTAAATCCCCTGTAAGGATATTCCGTGCCAACTACATCATGATGCAGTAGTATAGGGCTAGATAAGTATCATTGTAAAACCGTAATACACTAAAGGGCGTTAGAAAGCATCTGTCTGCCAAGGAGTTATAGGCTAAAATTGGAAAGGTATGTAGATGGGTAACTCATCCTATGTCCTTTGGACGTGACTTCTGCCCCAGAGTAAAGAATCAGAGTCCAACTGATTTGCTGCCCCCGGCCACAGTGTATTTTACAGTCCAGCACATTAGTTTTGCGGATTCCCTCAGTAACTGTGATCAGGACCAGAGCTTGAGATCTCTGTTCAGGCTGCTGATTCCCTTGATGAGTGTTGATCTTCCAAGCAGACGAGCCATGCCCAGATGAGTACCCCTTTGTGGACCATGGTCTAGGAGCGTTATGAGCTGTTGTGAGACCAGGACTCTGGCGAGCGCATGGCCCTCTCAGCACCTTCCTCCGCTTCCTCCGCTTCTTATAGCAAGCCGTGGTTCTTCAT